CTACGAGACCTCCCACACCCTATAATTAGCATCACCCGGGCAACCGGGGGAAGAATGCTTAGTGTTCTTGTTGTCGTGGTAACTGCGTAAGTGCTGGTTGGAGGTGTTGGTTAATGACAAGGACAAGCCAGTCTGCTACTTTATGTGGTGCAAAACCCAAACTGAGCCATTAAGTCTATGTCAGTGGACAGAACACGTCTCTTTTGTGTCGCGTTCAGACTGCTGTGTGCGTGATTGCAGATATTGCTTACAGTAGCTTTAGAGTAAATACCCTGGCATGGCCAGATCCAACTGTTAGTGTATCCAGAGACAATAATATACTTCTGAACTCCTACTGATCTCCTCATTTCCTCCATCTGCGAGCTGTCTGTGCACCCTGTGATCTAAACACAACCCATGATGCCTTCATTTGAGTTGCCTGCACAGAAAGAAACAGATATTTACTTACTGAAAGTTCAACTGGCTCCAGAGGGAACGCTGAGCAAAACTGAAATAAATCGCTTTTCAAAACTCCAATTTTGGCTTGTGTGTATTTAGAAATCACACAACTTAGACTCCTGTGGGGGGTACTCCAGGAGTATGGGGTGCCAGGCCCGTAGATACAGGCTGTTAGGTCCCTGTATGACCGGTGCCAGAGCTTGGTCCACATTGCCGGTAGTAAGTAGGACTCATTTCCAGTGAGAGTTGGACTCAGCCAAGTTGCCCTTTGTCACCAATTCTGTTCATAACTTTTATGGACAGAATTTCTGGGCGCAGCCGAGGTGTTGAGGGGATCCTTTTTGTTGACCTTGGGAGCACATCTCTGATTTTTGCTGACAATGTGGCCCTATTGGCTTCATCAGATCGTGAYCTCCAGCTCTTACTGAGCTGTTCACAGCCCTGTGTGAAGCAGCCGGAAAGAGGATCAGTGCCTCCAAATCCAAGACCATGATCTTGAGCCGGAAAACAATAGGGTGCCTTCTCCGGGTCGAGGAGGAGGTCCTGCCCCAAGTGGAGGAGTTTAAGTATCTCGGGGTCTTGTTCACGAATGAGGGAAAAATGGAGCGGGAGATCGACAGGCGGATTGGTGCTGTGTCTGCAGTGATGTGGGTGCTGTACCGGTCTGTTGTGGTGATTTATCGGTCGGTCTGCATTCCCTCATCTATGATCACGAGCTTTGGGTAATGACCGAAAGAAAGAGATTGCGGATACAAGCGGCCGAAATGRGTTTCCTCTGCAGGGTGTCTGAGCTCTCCCTTAGAGATAGGGTGAGAAGCTCAGTCATCCAGCAGGGACTCAGAGTAGAGCCGCTGCTCCTCCACGTCGAGAGGAGCCAGTTGAGGTGGCTCAGGCATCTGGTTATGATGCCTCCTGGACGCCTCCCTGGTGGGGTGTTCCGGGCACGTCCCACTGGGAGGAGACCCAGAGGAAGACCAAGGACACACTGGAGGGACTATGTTTCTCTGGCCTGGGAACACCTTTGGATTCCCCCAGATGAGCTGGCCCAAGTGGCTGGGGAGAGGGAAGTCTGGGTTTCTCTGCTTAGGCTGCTGCCCCCGYGACCCGACCCCAGATAAGAGGAAGAAAACGGACGGATGGTGTATTTAGRAACCCTTCAAAATGTAGAGTGCATGGTCACCACGGTACCCCATCTCTCACTTGTTGCAATCAAGTTTAGGAGAGGCAGACAAAAATGCAGTCTGAAAACTAAGCCTCAGACTAACAGTTGCTGCACAAAACCTATATTTCAGATCTTAAAACTTTTTAACCTGTGAGCTGCAGGAGACTCTGCTGGGCGCACATGTGGATCTTTATACGTTTACGTTTCATGCAGGAGATTTGCCATGTGAAAACATCTCTTCACTTGTAKTTTTTGAAAAGAAGTGTTGGAGTTAAATTACAGTAAAAATGAATCTRTGGAGGTTTGGGTGTGCTCTGTCTGCACTGTTCYACCCTATGGGCCCTGTGCAGGGCCAGCAGATGGCGTCATTGCATTGTTGTTTGCTAAAATAGGTGTAAAACTTATTTTTCCCAAATTTTCCTAAGTCCGTCACAAAATGTGTCTTTAATGTTCTTAAAATGAGTAACCAAATTATTCTTGGATAAATATTTATGATTTTAGAGCTATATAAACATTTGTAAGTTACTTGAACCGTCGCGGACCATTTCAGTGTCAGGAAGTTCTCCGCATCTGTTACTGTGCAAGTTTTGGTTCCATACCCCTCCCTTTGGTATCTTTGAAAAGATGAAGCTCTCACACATTCAGGGATATATCTTGACACAATTATTGACAAAGTTTTGTCATAAACATTTATTTAAAAAAATAATATTCCACTAAATGGAGCAAAAAGGATACAATTCATCTCATTTTTTTTCATTTCAGTGTTTTCGTCGTGTGCACAATGGTAGATTCTGATAATGCACAGTGTAAATGTAAAAAGAAAAGGCTATGTCATTTGCAGAATGAGTCCTACAATAGAAATCAACACTTTTATTAGACCAGATTCTCTTTTATAAAGTTAAAAAAAAGACATTTGGCACAGTTTTGTGTACATTTGGCTAAAGTATGTCAAAATGCAATTTCTGCCTGGCACATTGCTCACTAAAACCTTTGTGAAATGAATATACTTCAACTTTTATTCAGTCCTACTTTGCTACAATTTTTCTCAAGATGTATAAAATCTAAGGGCATTCCTGGGTTTTCACATGAATTTTCATTGTGTTTTGCACTGTTGATTTAAAAAAAATTTAAGCAAGGTTAAAAAAATTACAAATTTTCTTTAATCACAAATAACTCAGGCACAGTAAGAGTTGAAATAGTAGTTTCACTTAAGAAATTATCTTTAAGATCTTACCTTTACAGAGGTACMAAGAGTTAGCGTTTAGACCTTATAACTGTGGAGCTATTCTTGATTTATTTTGCTGTGTATTTTCAGGCGGAAATTACCTCTAAAACTCCTYAGGGCTTCATCGTAATTTCTGCTGCAGTGAAATACACTGAGTGAAAGAAGACAACAATGAGTAGATTGCCATGAATAATTGTATATAAGCAACAAAAGAGCTTGTTTGGAAAATTTTGAACATTTTAGACCTTTCGGGTGGGCAAAAAGACAAGATATACCATTTGTTTTCATATTTCTTTTTTATGAATCTGAACAAAAAAGGTCCAATCCTGCTTTGTGGCTGAATTYACAAATAGGTTGGTAGAATTTCCTGACACTTTTAAGTTAAAATGACACAGATGGACATTACTGAAAGTGTCTTTCAGCAAACAGAAAGGGCTGGATCATAAAAATAAAGGCTGTCTGTGACTTAAAGTTTCCAATCATGTAACTTGTTTTTTTTAATGCTTTTAAATCAGTCAGTGGGGTTTATAAAGTGGAACTGTGATGCTTTGATCTGAATTCSTCTCTATTGTAAGTCCGCAAGCCCCTCTTTCACCCCTTTTCTGAGGTGTGTCTCAGATCAACTCATTTTGAAGCTGTCTCTTTAAATCCAAACAAGGCACTTAAAACCYCACCCTTCTCCAGCCTCCAGACCAGTCTATTCCAGTTTGATAGAGGAGTTTCTAGTCTCAAAAGTGGATTTTGCCCATGTCCCGTTTAATGTCCTTTTTATTGTTGGCTGTTTACTACTTATGTACATTGGAGAAAAATGAATTCTTCTGTTTACAAAACTGTTCTTCCCTATAGCATTGATTGCCATTTTTTGTTTATTTTATTGCTGTTTTMAAAATAAATTGTCTAYAWTGTGTGACATACGATTGCCAGAAGTCAAAGCACACCATGCTTGTTCAACCCACACGTTTTGGTATATAATTTMCACGTTTTATTTCAAAGATATGCACCATGATACAGATTTTGTGCCCTATGTATTTTTAAACCTACTCCACATATTCTGTCATCATGTGCAAGAACTGGACAAGAAATGAATATCCAAAGTTTAAACCTAGTAAAACCTTCAGGAAGGAGAAAAAAATATTAAACAAGATTACAAGAAAATCTGATATCCATTAGTCTATGAAGAAATTAGTGATGGTGGTTTTTTTTTTTACAGTTTTGTGCTTCATACAAGTAAATCAACAGCACAACAATCGTTGTAATTAATATAACTAAGTGTTCATATTGATTAGTTCAATTATGTTGTATTAGTTGTGACTCCTGATTGAAATAAGTCATTGACCTCAGCCCTCARGACATCCAATGACTCGTTTGTCTCGCCCTGTTGTCCCACAGTGTTCTGCTGCCATCTGCTGGACATTTTATTTGCTGCAAAGCTTTTAGTCAAATTGGTCGTAATTTGCTAGATGTTCAGCTGTCACTGAACGCGGTGTTCTCTGAGCCGTGTTCATGTCTGACAAATCAAAATTCTGAAAATAAAACACACACACACAATTTAAACCATTATCTGCTGTTTAAATTTCAGTATCCATGTAGTTATTTAGTTAACAGATACAGCACATTTTAAATTATATGTAGATTTTGTTGTAACAAACTGCTTGGAAATTAGTTTTCTAATAAACTTACTTCAATCGTTACCATGATTGTTRGTTATTTTTATTTATTCAGCTTTTATTAGCACTAATTCGTTTTTATTTATGTAACTTTTTTTAAATTGGCGGATGGATATGTTCCGGAGAAAGCAGTGAGAAGTCCGTACTTTCCGGTAAAATACGTAATAGAAACTATTTGTGGGTGAGTTGTTCCCTCGTGTTGCCTAAAGGGACAGTGAGGAAATGTTGTCTTGTCTCTCGGCTGCTCCTTCTGCAGATGTGGGCACAAACGAACTCGCATGAAAGGTTGAGCGATTGTTTTACGCCGTGGGCCTTTTAGCACAAGCTGGGCTGGAACTCGCAGCCTCAGGAGATCATGTCACGAGACTTGCCACAAAGCGTTCCTCAGATTTTTTTTCACCTTTATATCTTTTGGACCAATGAGAAATTAAAACAAGGAATAAACGAACAAATCGCGAAATATTTTATTAATTAAGCAAAGCAAAAACACAAAAAACGTAAGCTGTAATGTTGCGAAACTATTTTACCATCGCGGATGTGCACATACGTTTGCGTCTCCACCATAAGGCGGTGACGTAACGTGCTTTGTCACCGTCGCTCCCTGCTCCGCCGTCGTTCAGGACGAGGTTGCCGGAGCTGTAGCTGCTGGTGTTGTGTGTCTGCCGAACATGGCCGCAGGTCCTATGTCTGTCTCTTCTAATGCCTCCGCTACCAACGATGGTATTCTCATTGGCGACAAAGTTTACTCTGAAGTGTACCTTACGATAGACAACTCGCTGATACCGGAGGAAAGGTTGTCTCCGACACCGTCTATGCTCGACGGCCTCGACCTGAACACAGAAACCGACCTCCGTATCCTTGGATGTGAGATYATTCAGTCGGCGGGTATTCTTCTCCGTTTGCCCCAGGTAAGTTTTGAGGTCTTTGACTATGTATGTCGATGGCTGTTTACCTTTTTGGCAGTGKACCGAGCAGGAAGTGCTTGACTTTGGCCTAATTAGCAGTTTGCCGATGTTGGCGTGGTGGAGTCAAAATGGCGGCGGTTCATTGTGCGAGGTGTTAGGCCGCTTTACGTAAGAGCTGCGTTTTTTTAACATTTCGCCATGTGCTCTGTTTGACAGGTCGCAATGGCAACTGGGCAGGTTCTTTTCCATCGGTTCTTCTACTCCAAATCCTTCGTCAAGCACAGTTTTGAGGTAAGTTTGTTCGAGTGTGAACACCGGCGCTAGCTGCCGCCGATGACAGCACAACGTATGAATGACGTTCCGGCCTGGCAGCCATATTGTTTCAAAGCTCATTTTAACATTTTTCGAATGAATTCACACTGACCGAGCTTATTGAATTCATCAATTTGATTACATCACAATTTCTGTTTAGTACAATAAATTGTGTTTGGCTCACATTTTTAAAGAAATRATGTAAACTCGACAAACACAGAAACATAAGCTAAATATAGAACTGGTGTTTAATTTTACTTTAAAACCATATTTATTGAATTTGTTTTTAATGTCACAACTTAAAGGGAAGATTTTTTTGCATGTATTGTTGTATTATTGTACTATACACTAGTATTATTCCACAAGCTACTTTTTAAAGCAAGCGTCTCGATGTTCTTACATATTTATGACTTTGCTGCGTTTATCTATGTTTTCCTGTTTCTTCAAACTTTGTGCTTTTGTTGTTGTCGTTTTCAGATTGTCGCTATGGCTTGTATCAACTTAGCCTCCAAGATTGAAGAAGCACCACGACGAATAAGAGATGTCATCAACGTTTTTCATCACTTGAGGCAGATTAGAGGCAAAAAGTAAGTAGTGTTATTTCCTCTGAACCCTGTGTATTAATTTAAGATGTATTTGTTGTAAAAATGTTTGTTTGCTGGTCTGTTTTGACGTGAAAGTGCCCTTCTGTTTATCCATGYGCTCTAAACCATTTTAAAACTTTTCAATTCCAGCTTCATTGATAGATTGAAAAGTGTAATTGTCTACATTAAACATTAGCCTTGACATGACATTGACAAACTTAAAAAGAACAATTGATGGCATAGTAAAAAGATGAGGCATACCTATTCTGTGTGCCTCATGTCTTTATGTCAGTGTTTCAGATCTTGGCATTAACTTGGCTTCTTTTTTCCCCTTGCAACCAACTAACAGCGACCAGCTACATTTACCAAAGCCTGGGTGATGTGGAATGGTACGTAAGATGAAGCAGTCGGCATGACAACCATGATGCGAGGGGGGTCTCTGTCGTCCCCCAAGGCCCCGCCCCCTCCTGCGGGAGACTCCTGTGGGTCTGAGCCACCGCAGGGCACTGGGATCGGGGATGACAGGTTGGCCGAAGGTCCTTGGCCCGTGGGGCTCCTTGAGGACTCCTGTGGTTCAGTCTTAAGCTTTGGGTATCTGTCCGTATATCTGCGGACCGTGGGGTAATGTAGTCTTCTTCTCTGACTGCTTCTCTCCATGCATTTTGATTTGTGCATCAAAAGCAAAGCTTCATTCATCAACTATTGCCCATAGCCTTCACAGAAATATCTTTGTTGGTGAAATTTTTCTTTGGTTGTTTAGGATTTGAGTTATATTTTTTGTTTAGGGCCAGTGCATGCTGTGCTGCTTTCTCGTGTTTTTGTTTTTGCTGTAAACTATCATGTTTATAAATGTGTTGGAAATGATTCTGACATATTTATCAGGGTTGATTTTAATGTAGATTTGTTTTAGATATAGGGTAGAATATTTTTTAAAGCTTGTAATTTGAAGCATGACAATTGGCTTGACTTTTAGACATCACAACTTCATATTTTTTTATATTAAATTTAGCTTTTGTTGGCACTAAATAGTACCTTTTTACTACTTAAATAAGTCTTGATGCTAAAATGTCTGAATTAAGTTTAATTGTTGTSTGATGTGACAAATTACAGAGACAGGCATCTATTTGGTTGTAAAATAGGTTTAAAACCCATGCAGTCAAATAAGAAGTGTTACTTTTCAGATGTTTTACCTAACTTACCAGGTTTAGTAAGGTTTAGTTTACTATGTAGTTTGAATACATTAGTAACTTTCTATTTTCTAGATAAACACACTAATTTGTGGCGTTATGTATTTGTAGTGGAGTACAGCAGTAGCTTTTCTTCAGTTTTCATGAGATTCTGGTTCCATTTTGAGGATTGGTGTATTTTTTTATTTTTATTTATTTTTTTAAACAAAGCCTTATCAGGAGTGTCAAACTCCAGCCCTCAAGGGCTGCTATCCTGCATGTTTTAGATGTTTTCTGGCTCCAACTCACCTCATTCAGTGATTGAATTAACTCTTCAAATTGGGCAGAAGCCTGTTAATCACCCAGCGATCAAAGTCAGGTGTGTTGGAGTAGAAAAACCTCTAAAACATGCAGGATGGCGGCCCTCAAGGACTGGACTTTGACACCCATGCCTTAGATGATCTGAGCTGATATTTCTGTTGAAGCTTTGAATTGGGTCAATTAGGTCAGGGTTCGTCTACAGGTCCTTCAAGCTTGCACTGAAACCACAGGAGTCAGCAAACCCCAACACACTGTCAGGCATGCATACAGTGTAACTTGTTGCTTTAAGTTGGTTGAAACTGGGAAAAAAGACAAACGTACAGGAATTCAAAGGGGCACTTTCTTTTCAGTTTTAAGATGAAAAGGGGAAACATTTCTTATCTCTTTATAAAATAGGGCTCCAAATCCATTGATACTTGATCAGAACTACATAAATACCAAAAACCAAGTCATCAAAGCAGAACGACGAGTCTTGAAGGAGCTGGGCTTCTGTGTGCACGTCAAGCATCCACACAAGGTGAGTTAAAGACATTTTTGTAGATCAGAGAGGAATACTTTTGGCGGGTTTTTCAATTCTTAACATATAAAAAATGTTTGATTCCAGATCATCGTTATGTACCTCCAATTCCTGGAATGTGAAAAGAACCAGACACTGGTCCAGACTGCCTGGTAAGTTTTTGTTTTGCATAGTTTTTCACAGATTTCCTACAGCAGCTTCTTGTCATACCTTCAAGAAGTGCCTCCAGACCTGGGCTTTAAGATGGAGTTGAACACGTTTCAAGAGGTTGACTTTATGAAATGCACTTATGTCTGGCAGGAACTGTAGGATACAAGACTTGTCAGTCAAATGGTATTCAATCGCTCCTGTTAGTGCAAATTTGAAACCCATTCAACAGTCATTTTGCCCAGGTCTGACAGCGACATTCTTTTACTCCAATTCAGTCCTTCCTTTTTATTTTAACTGTTTGTCTTCATTAATTTATTTGAATATTAGGATGGAGCAATTTCTTGTATTGCAAGCCTGCTACTTGTTTCACTCCCTTGTCTGCCCTTACATATAAAGTCTGTTTATACTGCGGTACCCGTAGAACTTGGCTTAACTTTGTCCTTTCTCTCTACTCTTTGATTAAAGGGTAGTCCATGCTGGTAAGTCACATAAAGAACCTCTGAACTCTGCCTCCTCCAACCACATGACCTCAGGAAGCTCCCCCTAATGGTTGGCTGCCCCTCTCCTGGCAGCCATTCCCAATGACAAGATTCACTGGAGGGGGCGGGCGAGCCTTTCCCAACAGCCAGCATCATCTTGTTTTCTCTTGGGTGTCCAAAAGGATTTGTATTTTTCGGTCTTGCTACAAAGATTATCATTTGTTTTGTTCTAAGTAGCAATAGATAGATACATGTTTGATTTTAGTTTACTTACATTTAGCAATGAAGTAAACTTAGCCAGAACATTCTTTTCCTTTTTTGGACAGTTTATCTGCCTTTCTTTGATTTACCAGTAGGATACTGTCTTGTCCCAAACTGACATGGTGTCCAGACATGTCTGTCTTACAGGCTGTTCCTGGTCTCAGATTTTGGCTCCGAGGACCTGCCTTTCCTTCGCAGCAATCAGTCTCAAACCGCCATGTGTTTTAATTATAGTCTCATTTAAAGTTTTATGTAAATTATCGAAGATCAGTTTGGTTAAATGTAGCATCTGCAGTTTTACCATTTGTAGAAAACATACCTGAACCATTACAAAATCTGTAGGATGGAAATGGACACACAACACCATTGTTAAAAAGGAATACTCAAAGCTTTGTAGCATGATTTGACTCAAGTGGGATTAGTGTTATTTTACCAAGGGGTTATCATTTTGTTTCTTTTTATCAAACACTTTCGTCTTCACGGACTTCTATGTTTCTTAGAAGCATAGATGGTCTTCTCCACCTGTCTACCCCATTCCCAACCCAGGCTGTTTTGTCTTGTCAACATCTCCCACGTACTTTTTGCATCAGTCTTTGTTCTCGACAACCTTTGATAGTCTTGTAGCACTGGGATTTTACTAAGCCTAAGTATTGAGGCAAAGCTTATCACCCGCTCCCATTTTGAAGAGTCACCACCACAAGGTGAAACAAAAACTCAAGTTCAGTGATKTGTYGATTTGTTTCATTTCATTGCTTGAAAACATTTAGGCAAACGTGGTTATTATGAAGCCTAAATCTTTTTTCTACATGGTTCTTGGTCTGTCTTGTTTCTCAGACCTTATTAGACCAGTTTTACATCATTTGAGTGTCACCRTGCCCCGAGTTTTAAAGTTGTAGGTCTTGCATGTTGCGTACATGTTGTGCCTCTTGGTTCTTTCAGGTCTTAAAATCTGAAAGGGAACCCAGCTTTGTAGAAGGTTTGACTTTTTTTTTTTTTTTTTTTTTTGCATGGCCACCACCTTACATGGCATGTTTGTCTGAGCCATTATTGGGTGTTTTTGCAATAAGTTTGAATATCATTGTTTTCCAAAACAATCCCATTGTTGTCTTCATGCTTTATGTGACATACAGCACTCCTATGGATGCCCCAGAGAGAAATGGACAAAGTTAAACTAAATTATTGCATAGCTTTAATAAATCATTTCAGAAGCTTTCTGATATGAAGCCTCTAATGATATTTATTATCTATAAATTCCCCTTATTAGAAGTAAATGTTGCAGGTTATGATTTGGTCTGATTTAAAAGTGTTGACAGTTTGGTTTGTGTAGCGACGATGCTATGTTTTTTTCCTATTTTGTTTGTCTTCATAGGAACTACATGAATGATAGCTTGAGCACGAACGTGTTTGTGAGGTTCCAAGCCGAAACCATCGCCTGTGCCTGCATATTCCTCGCTGCCCGTGCTCTGCAGGTAATAAGAAAAATGATTTTGAGTCATGCTTTTGTTCACTTCAACATCAAATCTTATTACAGGACACAATCTGTTGTCCCTTCAGAAGTTCTAACCTTGTGTGCTCGTCTTTTCCAGCTACCTCTTCCAACCAGACCTCATTGGTACCTGCTGTTTGGAGCCAGTGAAGAGGAGATTAAGGAAATCTGCATCACTACACTCAAACTCTACACCAGAAAGAAGGTAAACACTTTGAGTTTCAGCACGGATATACCAAGATTATAATGTAATTTATGTATCGTTCTAACCATAATGGAAACTCTTTCCCCTCAGGGGAGTTTGACAGAACATTTGTTATATTGTGTCACTCAGCTGGACTGTTCTGTGATTGACAAGCACTTCTGTGTCCTAAAGCAAGTTTATTGCAGAAACAGGCACTGTAAGAAGCTGTCTGTAATTTGTATTTTTGATTGCTTTAGGACATTTAATGAAATGTTGGTTGATAGATTTAAGGTGGAGCAACTTTGTCAGAATTTATTTTTTCATCAGACAGTGATTATATGCTTGTGTTCACTTGAAAAAGACAAGTTTGCTCAAATGTTTTATTTTTCTTCCAGCCTAACTATGAGCAGTTAGAGAAGGAAGTGGAGCGACGGAAAGTGTTCTTGGCAGATGCGAAGCTAAAGGCCAAAGGTCTGAACCCTGACGGTACCCCTGCACTGTCCTGTCTGGGTGGCTTCTCTCCTGCCTCCAAACCCTGCTCCCCCAATGTAGTGAAGGTGGAAGAGAAGAGCCCCAATCAGCAGGCCATCAAACTGGTGAAGAAGGAGCCAGAAAACCGCACTCAGGTCAAGAGTCCACATAACGGGTAAGAAACTAATGTGTGTTCAATAAAATGTGCCAAATCTTCAGTTCATTCTCACAATAAACATGTTTTTTTCATTATTTTCACTTTGCAGCTTGAGAAAGGAGGTGAAGATTGGGAGGAACAGTAGAAGTGGAAGTGGTTCTCGTTCAAGAACGCGGTCACGATCGAGATCCCGCTCCCCTCACAGACAGTAAGTTTGTGTGTAGATGTTAATGTGTTGGTTGATCACTGAGGTTCTGCAAACCAGTATTTGTCATATTTGTTGTTGTTTAACAGTTGATGTTTTTTTTTGTGTGCTCACAGTTACAACAGCAGACGCAGCCGCTCAGGAACGTACAGCTCGCGATCACGCTCGCGTTCTCACAGCCGCAGCCCCTCGCCGCGACGACATCCACCTTCGCCCCTCCTCCCCCACCTCAAGGCCAAGGCCACCCACCACAGCAACAGCGACTCAAAGCTGAGCGGACGCCACAGTAACAGCGGGGGCGGGGGCTCTGGTCACAAGAGGAAGCGCTCTCGCTCACGGTCCCGCACTCCTGTCAAAGTGGACCGAGACAGGGACAGAGAGAGGGACCGGGAGAGGGACAGAGAGCGCAGCTCCTACGATATCTCTTCAAAGAAACACAAGCACGAGCGAGGAGGAGGACACCGGGACAGGAGGGACAGGGAGAGGTCCCGGTCCTACGACAGGGAGCGCAGCCACAAGAGTAAACACCACGGCAGCAGTGGACACTCAGGACACAGTCGCCACCGGCGCTGAGACACGAGCAGACCAGTCCTGGGGCTGATGATGGTCAAGTTTCAGTTTGCACAGATTAAAATCAAGTCCGGTGTGTTCTCTGAATCATGGAGATACCAACGTTCATCAGAAATCTTCAGCCCAGGACAGAGAGAACACGCCACACTTGGTTTTTCTTTGGAGGGCTATGTTACATCTACCACTCCTGCTTAGTTTGTATTTTCAGCTTTTCATTTGTTTCCCAAATATGTCCATTAAAACACTTAAATATGATTTTGAACCCAAATTTATTAAACTAATAGCATTTATTTCACCCAGTGAAGACAATTAGAACTCCTTAATTTACCAGACTCGTACACGCAACTTCTAAAAATATTTAAATTTGTGTTGAACTTTCTGTCTTTAGCAGCACTTCATTATGGCTTGTTAAAGTGATCAGTTATATTTACTGTTAAAATTGAGTCTATTCCTAATAAGGAGGGTGGCAGCAGAGTAACATCAGCCCCAGGCTGGAGGACCCACATCTGGCCTACTGTGTTTCTGGTTTTCTCTGTAAAGTTACAAACTTATTTACAATGTAAAGGATTGAGGACCACTGACAACATGTGAATGCTTTGATTTATAAAAGCAAATTGTTCAGTGGAATGATCTAAATAAGGAAATGTAAAAAAAAAACTGTTCAGGAAAGATCAATATGTTTGCACATTAAGAGGCTGACAGGTAGTTTTTCTTTTTTGTTCCTTTTTTTCCCTATTTGACAGGTTTATGTTTTAATGAGTGGTTCTCTTTGTTTTTTTTTTTTTTTTTTTTTGCCATTTTCCAGCAGGAAAAGCAAATGTAATACAAATATATTTTAGAGTTGTAAATTTGTTACGATGGTTTTTATTCTGCACGTCTTCATGTCCAATTTTTATTCATTAATAAATAAGTTGAAGCCGTTGCTGAACTGTTATTTGAATGACCTGGTGAAGAGAGAACACCACCTGCAGTGATTGCAGATTTAGGTTGGATTTATTTATTCTAATGATTGGTTTTGTTACAATTCATGACTGTACCCATTCTGCCAAATGTGCAAGTTAGCAGATACCAAAGTTAAAAGAAATTTCTTCTTCCACCAGAGGGTGCTGTTGGCTCTATTAGAAGTGGCCATCTTTTCAAATGTTTAGATCTGACTATTTTGAAAAATTGAGATTAGACAGAATAAGTGAAGTAAGATTCAAGATTTACACACAACCTAACTTGGCCTTGATCTAAAAATAAATTTAGCTTGTTCTGTGCTATAAACAGAGCTGTAAAGAAAACATTTCAGAAAAAGCCTGTAACTGATTTCGTGAACAAATGTAAATAAAGGTCTGCCCTTCACCCCAGAGAATTAAACAAATGTAAATTTTGTGAAACCTTGTAATTGTCTATAAATAATTTTTTAATAACTCGTGCAATTTTGTGAGATCTGTTAACACGGAGTAAGGATGACTCAACTTCTACAGCACCAACATTTAGCTTCCTCTCTATAAATCTAGACATTTTTGCTGAAATTTGTTCTGTTGGTAGATGAAAGTAATCCCCAACACATACTCTGAGCTCTAACTGATCATAGATCTGATTTTATAACTTTGCCATTAACTTTGAGTCTCCATTGTCTGTTAGCACAATATCTCGAGCCAGATTTCAATGAAAGTTTCAGAACACAAAAATTTGATCAACATCTGCAGATCAAAATTAACACCAGATGTCTTTAATGTTTGGATTCACTTGTGACTGACAGAAAAGTGATAATCTGGGATTCAGTTATACTAATAAACACTGATGCCGCACGTCAAACAGGGAAACACACACATATTACTGGACAATAAAACATTAGGATATAATCAAAATAATTCGTTATTAGTATTAACCAAAAAACTAATAGGAAATCTAACCGTACTTAAAAAGCCAAATGTCCAAAGAGATATTTTTTAAATTAAAATGTTTATTTGGAATCTGATTATATAAAAGTAATTGCTAACAGCTCTTAAAACATTTGGTCACACAGTCATTACTTCAGTCTAAATGTTCCAGTAGCCTACATCCCAATGAGTCATCTGCTAAATCTTCCACTTGAGGTGGTCCAACTTTGCCCGCCTCTTCTTTCCTTTACCAGAAATCTGTTGTTTTGTTCAAGTGGTTTGTAAAATGTTTGAAATGGGACCGTAATGACACTTTGAGAATCAGTCCTGCCCACATCATTTCAGATGAAGTGTGAAACTTCTTTTCTCAGACGGACTCGTGAAAACAGCCCAGCTGTGGATCTGCTGGTTGGTTGGGATCTTTGTGAGTCCAGTCTTCACATTCTCCCTGAGCCCGGAGGGAACTGGTTTTCTTTTCCTCAGGTCAGTTGACTTCCTCCTTCAGTCCAAAGGCTTCCTCATCCTCTCAGCCAGTGACAGCTGGAACTGGGCCCTTTGGCATCTTTCACCAAATAGTGTTGGGATGATTAATTGTTGTTTAAATAGCTCTGACTGATCCAGTAAGCTGACCCTGGTAAATAATACAGTGGGGTGCGTAAGTTTGGGCAGCCTTGTTAATTTTCCTGATTTACCTTTATAAATCATTGATCGTTTGGATAAAAAAATACCTGTTAAATAAATCATATAGGGGACAAACACAGTGATATCTGAGAAGAAATTAAGTTGATATGAATTACAGAAAGTGTGCAATAACAGGTTAAACAAAATTAGGCAGGTGCATAAATATGGCCACTGTTGTCATTTTATTGTTTTCAAAACCTTTAGAACTAATTATTGGAACTCAAATTTGGTTTCGTAAGTTCAGTGACCCTTGACCTCCATAGGTGACTCCAATTATGAGAAAGGTATTTAAGAGAGGCAATTGTAGGTTTTTCTCCAATTTAAATCTTCTTTGAAGAGTGGCAGCATGGGAGTCTCAAAACAACTTTCAAATGAGCTGAAAACAAAGATTGTTCACCATCATGGTTTAGGGGAAGGATACAGAAAGCTATCTCAGAGATTTCAGCTTTCAGTCTCGTCTGTGGGAAACATTGTGAGAAARTGGAGGACCACAGGCACAGTTCAAGTCAAGGCTCCAAGTGGCAGACCAAGAAAAATCTGGAATAAACAGAAGCGAAGGATGTTGAGAACAGTCAGAGTCAACCCACAGACCAGCAYCAAAGACCDDCAACATCATCTTGCTGCTGATGGAGTCACTGTGCATCGTTCARCTATTCAGCACACTTTACACAAGGAGGTGCTGTATGGGAGAGTGATGCAGAGGAAGCCTTTTCTCCGCCCACATCACAAACAGAGCTGCTTGAGATATGCTAAAGCACAATTGGACAAGCCAGCTTCATTTTGGAATAAGGTRCTGTGGACTGATGAAACTAAAATAGTTATTTGGGCAGAACAAGGGTCATTATGCGTGGAGGAAAAAGAACACAGCACTCCAACACCTGCTACCTACAGTAACATTTGATGCTGGTTCCATCATTCTGTGGGGCTGTGTGGCCAGTAGAGGGACTGGGAATCTTGTTAAAGTTGAGGGATGCATGGATTCCAATCAATATCAGCAGATTCTGGAGACCAATGTCCAGGAATCAGAGACAAAGCTGAAGCTGCTGAAGCCAGGGCTGCTTCTTCCAACAAGACAACCACCCTAAACACTGCTCAAAATCTACTAAGGCCTTCATGCAGAGGAACAAGTACAACGTTCTGGAATGGYCATCTCAGTCCCCAGACCTGAATATTATTGAAAATCTGTGGTGTCACTTAAAGAGAGCTGTCCATTCTCAGAAACCATCAAACCTGAATGAAGTAGAGATGTTTTGTAAAGAAGARTGGTCTAAAATACCTTCAGCCACAATCCAGACTCTCATTAGAAGCTATAGGAAGCATTTAGAGCTGTTATTTTTGTGAAAGGAGGAGCTACTAAATATTGAGGTAAGGTTTTTTTATGGTGCCCAAATTTATGCACCTGCCTAATTTTGTTTAACCAATTATTGCACACTTTCTGTAAATCATATAAACTTCATTTCACTTCTCAAATATCACTGTTTGTCCCCTATATGATATATTTTACTGTTTTTTTTAAATCCAAACAATCAATGATTTATAAAGGTAAAACAGGAAAATCAACAAGGGTGCCCAAACTTTCACACCCCACGGTATTAACTCACCAGTATTGGAGGGTATTTATCYGGCTCTTTCATTGTACAGGGCTTGATTTTAATGATCCAAATTCTACATTATTCCCTCAACAAACTGAATCAAAGTCACTTCTTGTTCTTCTTCTTCTTGTTCTTGTTCAACTTCACCTAACAAACTGATGTCTAATTACCAGAATATCCTGATGTGATTCGACCATCATCAAAGTTTTGTCTGTTGTGTTGTGAGCAAAATAATAAAATGAAAAACGAAAAGTTAAAGGGAGCCTCGAAGTTCACTGATTGTGCAACAGATTTATTTAGCAGAACTTTCAGGAGAAATGAAAACAAATATTAGTTGAACAAACAATAAAATACAGCATTCATTTGTTCATTCAAACAGTAGGTATGTAAAGAACTATAAAAATCTTTCATTCATTATTTGTTTTTTTTTTTTCAGACATGATTCAGGTGTTATATATAATAAATAAATACTGACCTTTTATCAAAACCAAATGTAATTGAACAAAAAAGGAAAGGAAAAAAATCATCTTTACAGAAGGCTGATGGGACTGATTTATACATTCAGGTTCTTCATTACTGCCATCAATCATCTTCACAGTGTTTTTTGAAACCATCCAGTCAGAGTGACGGACTGACAGATGCTCCAGTGTCTCAACTATTTACAGAACTGGGAACGTGCGATGTGATGAAAGTAGGTTACAGACAGCCGGGTGTTTCGAGCGCAGAGGTTTGGGGACTGGGCCGACACGGCAGCATGACCGCTCGTGTGGTTTCACCAACTCCCGGCCGGCTCATCACATCTAAACACCAGAGAGCTAACTGAGCTCAGGAATCTATCCTCACTAACACAGATTTTTATTTTCATCGGCTGGCAGAAAATCGAAAAGAGATGATATGTAACATTTGAGAGTATTACCTATGTGTCGTTTTACTCACAGAAAGCTATGTTATGCATGACCCCATATAAAGTTAGTTAAAGAAATAGTTGGATCTACTGAAGTAGGGTTCGATGGAAAGGTTATGCACAATTAATATCTTACCTGCAGTAGAAAGCTTTTTGAACGACCTTAATTTGAAAAACAAAAAGTTTAATCCTGACTGGATTGATGAGAGAATGCTTAGAACTGTGGTCTAGAATTTTGGGTCGACCGTGTGATCCAAAATATGACGATAAAAAGTTATTCACATCAACCAATGCAAAGATTTAGGATGTTTTCAGATGCAGGAATACACTTTGGTCTTGCTCTGATTAGCTGTTAGCTTGTCAATTTAGTCAAAATTAAATTGTATTTCTCTAAACCGAGGGCACTTAAAGAGCTATCCACAACAGGTAAGATATTAACTGTTCATAAACAAAGCCTCACTTCACAGATCTGAACTCTCTCTTTAACATGTTTCTCATGTGAGCATAAACAACGTAAAGCTTTTGCTCAAAGATAAACATTACATAGCAGGGAATGAGCACCTTCAGTTAGGGAGTATTGTCAACTTTATTACAAGTATGTGTAAATATTAGGAGGCACAACGATGGCTGAAAATACAAAGAGGGGTGAGATGATCCAGTGGGGCGCATTGGATTATAGCTGAGTATTAGATGGACTGGAAATTAGAAAATTGTAAAAATTGTCACTTCACACACAAGAATCCAAACTCGACTCATTTGATTTGTCACAGATAAAGCATGCAGGCTCTGTTCAGTCATCTAACAGTGAACATGACTCAGCGTTTCTGCTGCAGTAGCTGCTGCCAGTGTTTCAAAGCTACATTCTGTGAGAACGCTGAATTTCTCATAACCGATGAGTAAAAACAGAAAAAAAAAAATTGCAAGGGTTGTTTTTATCGCATGATCATTCCTAAATATGACATTATCTTTATTTTATTCAATTTTTTCCCAAGATGGCGCCACGGTCTGTTACTGCACCTCCCAGTTTTCTTCCTACTTTTTTGTGTTTTTCTGATGTTTTAAGTTTTTATTTTTAACTTTTATTTTTAACAAACACGCCATGGATCTGCAAAGTCTTGCTACAGTAGTTGCACTGCTTTTACTCTTTTTGGGACTTTTAATCTACCTCACTTGGAGATCCTGTGAGCAACTCTATTGTTTACAGCAGGGACCAACTGTTAGAGCTAAGAAACTGGAGGGGACCCCCTCATGAGCGACCTGAGATCCCAAAGGAACTACATCGTCGGAGGAKGGGACGCAGAGCTGGAGTGAAGCATAGAGAGAGAAGGAGAAGGTACAAACCGAGCATTTCATCTGTTCTCATGGGTAATGTACGGTCCTTAAATAACATGATGGAAGAGCTGACGGGGATAACCAGAGTGCAGTGGGAGTACCAACAGAGTAGCCTTTTGCTGTTTACAGAGACTTGGCTCATGGATCAGACACCGGACTCTGTTGTAAGTTTGGATGGCTTTCAACTGGTGAGAGCGGACCGAAGCATGAGGGAGAGCGGTAAGAGGAAGGGGGGCGGACTGGTGATGTACGTTAATGAGAGATGGTGTAACCCTGGACACATTACTGTGAAGGAGCAGCGCTGCACCAAAGACATTGAACTGCTAACGGTCAGCGCTCGGCCATACCACCTGGCCCATGAGTTCTCACATGATTGTGCTAATTGTTTACATCCCTCCCTCGGCCATCGCTACGGCAGCCCGTGAGGACATTCACACCACTGTCTCTTAGGTGCAGACGGCACACCCACAGTCCCTGATTATCATCTCTGGGGACTTCAATCATGCCTCCCCCTCTTCCACTCTCCCTAACTACACCCAGTATGTTGACTGCCACACCAGAGACAACAAAACTCTGGATCTGCTGTTTGCCAACACCAAGGAGGCTTACAGCTCATCACCCCTCCCCCTGCTTGGTCACTCAGATCACAATCTGGTCCTTCTCCACCCTACCTACACTCCCATTGTGAAGAGGAAACCCCCCATCAAGAAGGTGATAAGGCTGTGGTCTGAGGACTGCAGTGAGGCCCTGAGAGACTGTTTTGAACGTACAGACTGGCAGGAACTCTGCAGGCCTCACGGCGAGGACATCAATGCCCTGACTCACTGCATCACAGACTACATGACCTTCTGTGTGGAGAACACTGTGCCAACTAAGAAGGTACAGTGCTTCTCCAACAATAAACCATGGGTGACCCCAGAGCTGAAGGCACTGCTGAACGAGAAGAAGAGGGCCTTCAGATCTAGCAACAAAGAGGAACTGAGGAGAGTGCAGAAGGAGCTCAAATACAAGATCCGGAGGGGCAAAGAAAGCTTCAGGAAGAAGATGGAGGAGCAGCTCCAACAAAACAAAGTCCGAGAGGTCTGGAGAAACATGAATAAAATCTCTGGCCACTTCAGGGACAATGGAGGAACCACAGGGCCTACAGATTGGGGGTGGGCTAACGACCTGAATTTGTTTTTCAATAGGTTTGACTCTGGCCCATTGACCACCTCCCCCACCCCCCAGCTCCCAACTAGCCCTCACCATATGCTGCTCCCCCACTTTCCGCTTCCTGCACTCTCCTCACCCCCACCCACAACAGAACCAGCCCCACCTCCCACTCCAATCCAGCCTCACATTCACCTCACAGCTGATCAGGTGAGAAGTCAGCTCAGGAAAACAAAGATCAGGAAGGCAGCAGGACCGGATGGAATCAGCCCAAGACTGCTCAGAGACTGTGCAGACCAGCTCTATCAGGTGGTCCTGCAAATCTTCAACCTCAGCCTAAGTCTGGAGAGGGTCCCTGATCTGTGGAAGACKTCCTGCGTGGTTCCAGTGCCAAAGATCACACATCCCAGGGAGCCCAATCACTACAGACCTGTGGCTCTGACTTCTCACTTGATGAAGACCATGGAGAGACTCATTCTGCACCATCTTTGTCCTGTGGTGAGCCCAGCACTGGAACCCCCTGCAGTTTGCCTACCAGCCTGGCATCGAGGTGGAGGACGCTGTCATCTACCTGCAGCACAGATCTCTCTCTCACCTAGAGCAAGCAGGAAACACTGTGAGAGTCATGTTCTCTGACTTCTCCAATGCTTTCAACACTATCCAGCCTGTTCTGCTGAGAGGGAAGCTGGAGGGAGCTGGAGTGGACAGGCAGCTGACAGCATGGACCATCGACCATCTCACCAACAGACCACAGTATGTGAGGCTCCGCAACTGTGTGTCTGATGTGGTAGTCTGCAGCACGGGGGCACCACAGGGCACGGTCCTCTCACCCTTTCTGTTCAGTCTGTACACATCAGACTTCAGGTACAACTCGGACCACTGCCACCTTCAGAAGTTCTCAGATGATACGGCCATCATTGGATGCATATCAGACGGGAATGATGAGGAATACAGGGGGGGTCATCAGTGACTTTGTTGGCTGGTGTGAGACCAACACTCTCCAAATCAATGCCAGCAAGATGAAGGAGATGGTCATAGACCTCAGGAGGAAGTCACCCCCCACAGCACTGGTGAACATCCAGGGAAAAGACATTGAGACAGTGGACTCTTACAAATACCTGGGTGTTCACCTCAACAACAAGCTGGACTGGACTACAAACACAGACGTCCTGTATAAGAAGGGYCAGAGTCGACTCCACCTACTGAGGAGACTGAGTCCTTCGGTGTCTGCAGGACTCTGTTAAAAACATTCTACGACACGGTGGTAGCATCTGCCATTTTCTATGGAGTGGTCTGCTGGGGGGCTGGATGTACTGAAAGGGACAGGAACAGGATCGACAAACTGATACAGAGGTCAAGCTCTGTGCTGGGATGTCCTCTGGAGCCTGTGGTGGTGGTGGGTGAGAGGAGGATGTTAACAAAGCTGACAGCCATCATAGACAACCCCCACCACCCTCTGCATGAAACCGTGGGGGGGCTGAGCAGCTCCTTCAGTCAGAGACTTAAACATCCTGGCTGCAGGACGGAGCGCTTCCGTAGGTCATTCATTCCAACTGCAGTTAGACTGTATAACACATCATGATGTTATCAGTCACTTGGACAATTCACATACACTGCCATCACTAACATGCACCTTCATACACAAACGTACATTCATTTTTGTACTGTACTTTACGGTGCATATACATATGTATGTAAATATGCATATGTGTTTATGTATATGTCCATTGGTATATGTACATTCCTATATATCACATGTGTATATTGTGGGGTTGTTTTTGTTTTTGTTTGTTATCTTTCATTTATCTTTCATTATTCTTCTCAGCCTCTCCTGTATTAAGCAGCAGTAATGTGCAAATTTCCCCACTGTGGGATCAATAAAGTTTTATCTTATCTTATCT